CTATCTATCAATTTAATTATCTATGTCATTCTCTTAATTATCGAGGAAAATCTATCTATGATTATCTATCTATCTATCTATCTATCTATCGCATTCTCTTAATTATCTATCTATCTATCTATCTGCTTGTAAATTGTGTAAATAGTGATAACTTCTCATCTCAGAAATTCAGGTATAAATTTAAATAAAGATTTTAGACTTCGACATCAATCGGCTTCGCATCGCGTTTCATATTTTATCGCCATCATTTTTCGACGTTCGCATTGTGATAGCCTTAGATATCTTTAAAAAAATAAAAAAGATGATGAAGCTGAACGCAAGTTTACATCTTCATCTCCAGATTGAGGGAATCATCTTCACAGGAATAGTAAAAAACATCAATAAAAAATGCTGTTGAAAGGGATTATATATCGTCATGAATATGGAATGAGGTTCTTTCAAATCCGGGGAACCAACTATGACTGGTCTGTGGTGTAAATGTCTGATTTGGTGCCACTTAGAAAAGGAATTTGTCTGAAATTTCTTCCCATGGAAAAAGTAGAGCTTGTGACATTGTGCCTGTAGAGAAGGTGTTGCTTTTTGCCATAATCTGATCCCTATAAAGATAAAGTTAGAAATTTGCGTCGTTTGTTTTATTAATGCTTAGCCAAGAGGCCCAAGAGCAACTCAAAGTAGAGGGTTACTATTTGCTGTTGCATGAGCGAAAGAATAAGCAAGAAGCGAGGTGCATCAAACCAGACAGGAAAGATAACGGTTAACCCTAGACTTGAAGAAGTAGTGCTTGAGGAGAGCATCCTCTTGGGAGTATGTTCCACAAAGCAGAAGTCCTTGAGAAGACGCTGTCCAATTGGAACTTCTTTCTTAATAATGGAACAAGAAGTGAATGGATATGTGGCATGGTGGGTCCGAGTTGAAAATAACATTGGTGTCATAGTAAGGAATGTAGCTCGTCGGATAACATGGCATGAAAATAGCGGTAGCTCAGCGTGAGGCTCGCAACGTTTCGTTTGTGGGAAAGAGGTTGTAAGGTGGGAAATAAGCCATCATCCACAAGGCCGCGTAGACGCTTTTGTACTCTATCAGTACAAACAAGTACGAACTGTTTAAATCATAAATAGTAAATAATTCATGTAGATAAATATATTACTTATTTATGATATGATTATGTAATTTTTTTTTTTCTGTTATATTTCTGAGATGAACAAATTATGTACACAATTGTCCTCATCTGTATTTAAATTTTTATCTCAACGTTTCGGCTGATTTGTAATTTCCGAATTTTTCTTCAGGTTTTGGAATGTCGAACTGACCCCTTTATTTCATTTTTTGGGCCAAATCTAATGGATGTCAGTTATCAGTTATTTCCTGTTAAAAAAATCTCCAACTTCTCAAAAATAATAACCATATATTGAACCACAATCTTTGGGTCCTGTCACTGAAAGAACCAAATTTATCCACTGTGCCATATTTTAATTTTTATTTTACTATTTGGACATCCGACTGTTATAATAAAGGGAATTAGACAAAACTTAATGTTTCTACGCTAAGTAAAAAGCTAATAGCCTCTTTACAACAATCAACATAATTCTTAATACGTGGCTCAAGAGGTACTCAAGGTAGAGCGTTAACGTAAAACATGGCAGTGAGTAAAGATTATACGATTATCTCGGAAAGATAACAGTTAATCCAAGACTTGAAGAGGTCAAGATTATAGGGATTGGGTCCCAGTTTTTAAGGTCAGGGCTGGTGGCACTAAGGAAGTTAACTCATCAGAACCCACGTCATGGAATAGTGATAGCGTAGCGAGAGGTTTGTTGTGCCAATATGTATATTTATCTCAAGAAACGTTCGATGCATTTGAGACAACAGCGAATGGTGGGATAAATATTTATATCGGATATATATATATATATATATATATATATATATATTTATATATATATATATAATAATGGACTCTCCCGTCAGTTTCGACGTATGAGGATCTGCCAGCTTATTGATTCAGTTATGAAAGTTTATGCGATAATCTTAAGTGGCATTTAAGACCCGCTAGTGATTTACAAAGGAGGCCGCATATGGAGCAAGTGTGAGGATTGTGAGATGAGATCACTGTTAGATTGGTTGACCTTTTAGGTGTTGCTCACGCTTCTTGAAGATGATTCAGACACGCAGATTGTACAGATGATCCTTAGAAAACCACAAGGTTAAAATCTGTTTCATGAAAATAACATTAATCTCTTTAAACCGAAGTTTGTTTTTTTTTAATAAATGGAGTCAATTTGTCCAGACAATAGGAAAAGGGAGACAATATAAAAAAGAGAAAAGGAAAAGGAAAAAAAGATATATTAAAAGAGGAAGAAAGAAAAATAAAATTTTCAATAAAACGTTATAAAGAAAATGGTGGGGAGAAGAAGACAAAGAGGGAGAGATAAGGGGAAGGGTGGGAGAGAAGGAGGAAGTGAGGGAGGGGCAGAAAAGAAAGGAAAGAATAAAGAATTAGACATGAGTCGATAGGGTGACCTAGAAATGATTTTTTCTTTACGGAATAAATAAGTTAAAATGCAGGTTTAACATAGATACAATCATGTGTCTAATATTAGTGTCATTTTCGACAGATTCATGGCTTTATAATAATTAAAATTTCAAGTTATTATTATTATTATTAATATTTGACATCAGTAAAATAATTCAGTTGAATTAAAATTACAATATAAAACATATATAAAAACTGTTAAATAAATTAATTAGGAGATCAATAAAGAACTAAAATAAGTATATATATATATGCACACTCACACATACATATAGATATGCATACATATGCTATATTTTAAAAGACAGTTTTTTCTGTTTGAGCTCGACTAGGGTAGAGATCAGCCGCCAGGATCTTGGGTCTTATCGGAGGTGCTTCTGATAATTGTTGTATCATCAGCGTAGATGTTTCCAAAAGAACTGAGAATGTTAAAGAAAAAAGATCGTTAATATTAATATCAAAGGACTGAGAAGAAAATAACATTAGGGAGCACCTGAAAAACTGCTCTCGATGTCTTTGAAAACGACCTTCAAGGATTTATAGTGGAGTGGGGCTTAGTGGTTAAAATGTTGACTTACCCACATGAAGAAGATTAATGAAGATTGATAATGATGAAGAGACAGACGTGCAATTTTAACACAAGATAAGGCGTGTATATGGCGCTGGTTCTCGAAGCATAGCGAGAGAGGGACGGATAACCTAGAAACCACAAATAGAAATTATTTACAATATATATTATTATATATTTTGAAAAAGAAAAGGCGGATTATTCTGACAGTGATAGATTGCCTTTGTCTGAGTTTTGGATATGTCTAAAACAGTGTGAATTCAACAGAGCGCCGCAAGAATTCTGAAGCGTCGATATGCCTCCCACATTCAGGTTAGTGACCGGCTAAGACTACTAACGCTAAGTCAATCAAAAAAAAACATGCGTTTCTGTCACGTCTCAATAAAACATTCACCTTCATAGAATCCAAGCTGCGATCTTTCTCTTCTAATAAAACGAATAAGAATAAAGATATCGTTCTTTTCGTTGTTACCATTTATGCAACCGCGTGGGAACCCAGAGGCAATACAGAACGCAACAGATAATTTATTCACGAATTTCCACGCTTGAAATAGTGTCAGCTCGTTTCAGGAAAATAAATCGGAAATATTGAATAAATCGGAATTTCATTAAGAGGAAATGTTCATACAACAGCTTAAGTGATCTGACAGGATTAATTTTACAATGTCGAGAACTTCAACGCTGTTCGCGATGAACTGAAACGAAACCATTCACATAACTTTACTCTTCTCTTATTAATTTTATTTTTCTCTTCATTTTTGTGAATTTCTTTCTTTCTTCTTCTTGGTAGACCAGCAAGTTTCTCCGAAGGCATGGTTTTCATTGGTCCGAAGAAAGTTTCACATATGCTCGCGAATTCCTTTCCTTCTTCATCCTCAGTCCTCCAATTTGAAAGGAGTGGATGAAGGGAGTTATTATTATTTCGCACTCATCCGAGAGGAGTTATATACTAGTTTCAACTTAAAATGACACATAACCACCAACGTATGAATCAATGTATGACAGTGTTAAACGTTAGTTTGCGCATAGAGCCCAGAGCTTTAAAATAAGCAGATAAGTACAACAAGTACAACAATTTAAATATATGGTTTTTTTTAAGTGCGACACTGAAATCCGAAGGCGCATTGGGATAGAGAAAAATGCCTTCCGAAAGTATTAAGAAACAGGAAAATTTCGTTAGAAACAAAGGAAAGAGTATTGAAAAGTTGCACATCTGGCCTCCTATATGAGAATAAATTCTGGTCAATCTCCTCACTGACGATGAAGAGACTTGAAGCAACAGAAATGTGGTTCTACAGAAGTATGCTGAGGATACAATGGACCGAATATTTGAAACAAAAAGGACACTTGCACTCATCAGAAACAGAGAGTTGTTATTTCTAAGGTGCATAATGAGGAAAGAGGGCCTTGAAAATTTTTCACGTGTTTGTTTCTTTGTTTCTTTCATTCTTAACTATTTTTCTTTTTCCTTTCTTTACTGCACCCTCATTTTATCTTGTATCTTCTATTCCGGATTTTTCCATCTTTCATGCCATTCATGTTTTCTTTCTTTCTTTCTTTCTTTCCAATTTTTATTTTTTCCTTTCTTTTCTTACCCATAATTATTCTCTTATATCTTCTATTCCTGATTTTTCGAACTTTCATGCCTTTTATGCTTTCTTTCTTTCTTTTTTCTTTCTTTTTCTTTCCTTCCTTCCTTCTTTCTTTCCTTCCTTTTACCGTTCTTTTCTTCCTCCTCATTTTTCTCTTGAACCTTCCTTTCATGATTTTTCCTTCTTTCTTTCTTTCTTTCTTTCTTTCTTTCTTTCTTTCTTTCTTCGTTCCTTCCTTCCTTTTCCCGTACTTTTCTTCCTCCTCATTTTTCTCTTGAACCTTCCCTTCACGATTTTTCTTTCTTTCATGTCTTTCATTCTTTCCTTTTCTTTCTTTCTTTCTTTCTTTTTTTCTTTCTTTCTTTCTTTTTCCTTCTTTCCTTCCTTCATTTCTTCCTTCCTGCCTTCCTTCCTTCCTTTTCCCGTTCTTTTCTTTCTCCTCATTTTTCTCTTGAACCTTCCCTTCTTGATTTTTCCTTCTTTCATGTCTTTCATTCTTTCCTTTTCTTTCTTTCTTTCTTTCTTTCTTTCTTTCTTTTTCCTTCTTTCTTTGACTTCCTTCCTTCGTTCCTTTCTTTTTTCCTTTCTTCCTTTTCCCGTTCTTTTCTTCCTCCTCATTTTTCTCTTGAACCTTTTCTTCTTGATTTTTCCGTCTTTCATGTCTTTCTTTCTTTCCTTTTCTTTCTTTCTTTTTCTATCGTTCTGTCTTTTTCTTTCTTGCTTTCTTTCTTTCTTTCTTCCTTTCTTTATTTCTTTCTTTCTTTCTTACCGATGTTCCTTTTTCCTTTCTTTTCTTTCTCCACTCATCTCTTTTCTTCCTTATATTGTCTATCATTATTGTTTGTCTTTCTTACTTTTTTCGTCTTTTTTTCATTTCGTTTCTTTTCTTTCCTGTCAGTCTACTTTTTTTTCATTTTATTTCAATCTTTTTTTTTCTTTCTCACATTCTTTTCTTCCTCAACAGTCAATATTTGTTTTTTCTCCTGAAAATGATTTCGCTGCCTTGTCCTTCACACTTTATCTTACCTTCCCTTCTTACTTCTCTCTCACTCGTTCCTTTATTTCCAATTAATGCTTCCCGAGTTTTTGTTCGGCCTTCCCGCCATCTTTGCATGCACACACACACACACACACAAAGGTTTATTTTATTCGTGTATAGCAAATTATGAACTCCATTTTTTTTACAAGGAGACCGTTTATCGTTTTTTCCCTTTCTCTGTTGAAAGAAATGCAACAGTAACAGAATAATAAAATGATTTTCCTTCCTTACATATCAAAGAGCGATCATTTACTGCGACCTTAAGCAACTATAGCCGGGAATATCTAAAAGTAGGACTCAAAAAATTTTGAACAAAACGAACCTTTGAATTCAAAGAACGAATACAAAAAAGTGAAAATACTTCAAGAAACGTTCAAGTATTTAAAAATTATTTTAACATTATTTTAATTTTATAAAATAAATCAAATTTCAAATTTTTTAATTTTTGCTCTGATAGTTGTGCATTTTTTTAAAATAAATCATTTAAAAATTACACTACTCATCTAAGTTTTATAATTTTTCCTTTTGCTTGTCTCATATCCGTGACTTTTTTTTTTTTAGTTTTTAGTTTTTCTACATGTCTTCATTTCAATAAAAGTGTTCGATATGAATTTTTCGTTTTATTCAAATAAATAATAGCAAAATATTCATAGAAAATTGTTTATTCAATCAAAATGTTTCTCTCCTTCGACCTTTACTCCATCTTGGATGAAATTGTCTGAATTAGAAGCAATATAGCTTGCTCAGTTTGATCCTGACTAGCGTCGTTGTAAGCAAATTATATTCTTGAAAATAGTGGCTTAGAGAGATGACCTGCGAATAGGTTAGAAGTAATAGTCTGTTTTATCTGAGTTTAATTAACATCATTTTTTACAAAAAAGAAGGTATTTCTGTGAACCCCCAGGCATTCTGCCCAGGATGAAGAACGCTGATTTTTCGATTTCTGACATCTCTCTCTTGAATCATCCATACAAAAAGTAGAATAGTAAAATAGTAATGATATAAAATGGCGAAATCCCGTCGCAAACAAAATTTTAAAGATGCATTAAACTACAAATCACTCGATGAATGTTATGATCCTTGTTTTTTAAAAATTATAAGCTGTATAAGGTCTTTCTTCAATACGCAAGTACTTTCAACTGTACATTCAGTCATCTTCAGGCATGGAAATTATTTTGTTTTTGGTAACATTCAGGTAGCATCCGAGACGAAAAAATTAAATGCGAATGGAAATATATATATATATATTTTTTTGAATGTGTTATTGTTAACGAATACAAACTTTTGGAGCGTGCTGTCGCAACGCTAAGGTTAATTTTTTTTTTTGAAAATTTAAGCGAGTGCGTTTTTTACTAATATGGTAATTTGAGAATTCTTTTGTTGTTGTAGGAGATTATTAGTTAATGTAGCATGAACTATGAATGATTCATTGTAATATAAATTGAACTCATTGTTACACATAACATACATACATCTCGGATCTCTTCTCTTTAAATCAAATCTCTCTCTCTCTCTCTATATATATATATATATATATATCTGGCAAAATGTTTCGTATTTGTTCTTTAATCTATCATATATATATATATATATATATATATATGATATGGAAAAATAAACAAAAGTAAATATTATGAAAATTTCTAGTGTAGATGTCAGTTGACATTAAACTTGAACTGGTTAGGATTATAGTGATGCATACCTTTCTGGAGTCTGTTCCACAAAGCAGCAAGAAACTGCCGAAGTGGAACTTCTTCCTTGCAAATGGAATACAAAAGAGGGTGAGGAGGGGTTTAAGGAAGGCATGAAAACAGCGACACGGTAGCGAGATGTGAGCTACATTTTGACATATTATGATGAAACCATTTTTCTTAAGCCTATATCATCATCAATTTTACTTTATTAAGCCTGTAATATTATCCATTTTTATTTTTTGTCCCTATGACATCATCATTTTTGTTTTGTTTTCCCTATAGCATCAGCCATTTTATTTTGTTGTCCTTATAACATCATCCATTATTATTGAACCTATAACATCATCCATTTTTAACCTATAACATCATCCATTTTGTTTTGTAGTCCCTATAACATCATCCATTTTGTTTTGTAGTCCCTATAACATCATCTATTTTTGTTGACCCTATAACATCATCCATTTTATTTTGTCCCTATCACATCATTCTTTTTGTTTTCTTTTCCTTATAGCATCAGCTATTTTATTTTGTAGTCCCTATAACATGATCCGTTATTGTTGAACCTATATCGTCATCCATTTTTTAACCTATAACATCATCCATTTTGTTTTGTAGTCCCTATAACGTCACCCATTTTTGTTGACCCTATTTTCTTTGTTGGCCCTATATCATCATCCATTTTTGTTGACCCTATAACATAATACATTTTATTTTGTTGTCCCTATGACAACATCCATTTTGTTTTGTTTTCCCTATATCATCAGCCATTTTATTTTGTTGTCCCAAAAACATCATCCATTATTGTTGAACCTATAACATCATCCATTTTTCGAACCTATAATATCATCCATTTTATTTTGTTGTCCCTATAACATCATCTGTTATTGTTGAACCTATAACGTCATCTATTTTTTGGACCTATAATATCATCCATTTTGTTTTGTAGTCCCTATAACATCATCCATTTTTATTTTGTAGGCCCTATAACATCATCAATTTTTATTTTGTTGGCCCTATAACATCATCCATTTCATGTAGATAACGGACACGACAATTTAATTTTTTCGTGTTTTTTTTTCTTTTACTTATTTCTCAAACAGATTTTTCTCTCCTCTCCTGCCTGATTCCCTTCTCGTCCCCTCTTTGATGCAAAAAGTCCTCGAAGGCAACTTAACTTCCTGTTGAGACTGATCAAATTTCTTGGCCTCCACCATTGATTGAAACGTTGATTTCTTGAAAAAAAAAGAAAAGGTTTCTCCTGTACTGATTTTTATTGCTTTACTTTTTTTCGGATGAAAAAAAATATATATATATATATATATACATATATATATATATATATATAGTTTTTTTTCGTTAATTATCTTTCTTCAGGGCTGTTGGTGAATGTGCGAGTTAATGACCCCTGGCGACATCATCATTCCAGATTCCAAATAAATTATTTATTGATTGATCTTACAGTTGGATGTATGTAATATCTGAGAGAACCAGGATGAAGAATGATTGAAATCAATCAGATCCAAGCAATTTGAAACTATGCACATGTACACAAACTTCCACGCGCCAATATATATATATATATATATATATAATCATATAGATACATATGGTCATATAAATTTTTCAGCGACATCTTTATCAATTTGAGTCCATTTTCATCTCCTCCTAACTGTTTCCTTTCATCTCTCTCCCCGCTTTTATATATATATATATATATATATATATATATATATATATATATATATATATATTATAAGTGCTATTTTTAGTGTGCATATGTGTTTGAGATGACATTCCTTCAATTTTTTTAATCAAAAAAAAAATTAATGTTAACAGGCCTAGAGTTCGAGAAGTTCATATTAACGAAAAATATGCTTCCTGACAGAAATCGAATATACATTCCCCTTTTCTACATCCGGGAAACCATGCCTTTAGACAAAGAGCATTGCCTCAATTTAATATTTAAAAAACCATATCTGAATAATATAATCTATATATATATATATATATATATATATATATATATATATATATATATATATATATATATATATATATCAATTCTATTAATGAGTTTTAGAAAATTAAATAATATTAATGTAATTTATTTCAATATGTAAATCTTTTTAAACGTCTAATAAGTTTAATAACATTATAATTGAACGTGAAAAGAAATTCACAATATAAACTCATATTTTTTTAAAGCTTAGATTGTATTAAAAAAGAAAAAAATATGGATCAATATTGTGAATTTCTTTCTACGTTCAATTATAATGTTATTAAACTTATTAGAAGTTATGAAAAGAGTTTACATAAAATAAATAGACAACACTTGTCTATATTATTTAATGAAACGTGTAAAAATAAATAAGAAAAAACAAAAATAAAGAAACAAAAATAAATAAATAACAATTAAAATAAATAAATAAAAACAAAAATAAATAAATAAAAACTAAAATAAATAAATATAAACCAAAATAAATAAGTAAAAACAACAATAAAGAGCAAAAAATAAATAAATAAATCCAAAAATAAGTAAACAAAAATAAATAAATAACAATTAAAATAAATAAACAAAAATTAATAAAAACAAAATAAATAAATAAAACTAAAATAAATATACAAAACAAATAAATAAAAACTAAAATAAATAAACAAAAATAAATAAATAAAACAAGATAAATAAATAAAAACTAAAATAAATATACAAAATAAATAAATAAAAAAACTAAAATAAATAAAGGAAAACTAAATTAAATAAACAAAAATAAATAAACAAAAATTAGTAAAATAAATTTATCCAAACCAATAAGTAAGTAAATATATTTAGTAAATATATAAATAAAATAAGCCCACTTAATTTATTTGCCATTGAAACTGACATTTTGTTATAACCTAATGAATATTCATGAGCACCCCCATATGTCAACAACATTTTTGCTCTTGCATATAAATAATAATATATAAATAAAATCAATATCTTTACCTTGATAAAGTCCCTCAGTGGACGAAACGTGTTGGCAAAGAAGTTTTCCTTTTGGCTTTATTCAAACTTAATTAAAAAAAAGGCGCTATTGTGTAGGGTTCAAGCCTGCATCCTATTTTGTAGGAGAAGTATTTGTAAGAGGAAGAAATCAGCGTAGATTATGACTGATCTTATTTTTTACGGATTATCAACACTTTATGGGTCATTTAAAGCCGAAAAATATTTGGGGTTGTAAGAATATTCTTGCGAGTGAATACTGTATTATCGTTTTTTTTTTCAGAATAATAATAATTTTTCCAGATACAAGTCCTACTATTTAACCCATAGATGGGGGATGGATTCAAGCCTTTCTT